AGAAAAGTGACTGGGTTTCCCTGACCAAAGAGAGCTATGACATACAACTATCTACTACGGTTTCGGGGGGAAAAAAATAAATAAAATTATAAAAAAAAAATTAGTATAAAGATAAAATAATTATATGGGGAGTCTTAATGAAAAAGCATATTGAGTTTTTTACCTACATTTGTTTCAATAAACTGGATAACTAAAATGGTTTGTGAAATTTAGATGAATGGCTAAAAATCCTAACAATGACCTTAAAACTATACTTATTATTCCATTATCAATACGGAGAAAAATACTACAACCCTGCAAAAGATGTGAAACACTTTTTTAGAGGAAGACAGTGGGCCTGTTGTTTAAAAAAATTCAAGAAATGCAGAAGTTCCTGGAGTTGGAGGTGAGAGGGAAGCCGGACTCCGACACTGTGGAGGTGATGCTCAAACCCAGATGTGGAATTCCTGATGTTGGTCACTTCAGTACCTTTCCTGGCATGCCAAAGTGGAGGAAAACTCACCTTACTTATAGGTAATGGGTCCAAAGAGGTTTTACCATAATATTGAAACTTTATAACTTACTATTACAGGAGAAAATAACATATCCTTTTTTTCTCTTGAAAGATTGTGGATTACACACTGGATTTGTCAAGAGTTGTTGATTCTGCCATTGAGAAAGCTCTGAAAATCTAGGGGAAGGTGTCTTCACTCTCATTCTCCAAGATTTATGACGGAGACACTGACATAATGATTTTTCCAGTTAAAGATAATAAAATAAAATAAAATGTATTCGTTTATCTGGTGTTGTCTTATTGAAAAAAGGCAAAAGGAAATTCTAAATACTTATATTTCCATTAATTTTTTTCCTCCACCAGAAAGAGAGAAATGGAAACTTTGAAAATTTTGATGGACCAGGAAAAGTTTCAGCTCATACCTATCCACCTGGGCCAGGCTTTTATGGAGATGTTCACTTTGATGATGATGAACTGTGGATGGAGGATACATCAGGTGGGTTATGAACCTCTCTGGATGATTTCAGAAATAATGTCTAACACTATGCAAGAACAATTTGATTATCCAGAGTGAGCATTAAATGGAGCATCCTAATAGTTGAAATTTCTGATTATTCAAATGGTAACAATAAGAAGTCCTCTTTGTTTCAATCATTATTGAAGAACTTTATAAAATGTCTGCATTTCCTTCATTGCCCTCAACAAACATAATATTGTAAGCACGATTCAATCTTGTTTCCACAACTCAGGATCTTGTGGAGGTGTTAGAATGAGCATGTTAACAATGCTTTTCATTGCTGTAACTACAGATGATCAAGGTAGGATAAGTTGCATTGAATCAGTTCTGACATTAAAATTTGCCCTTGGGTTTCTTCATTTCTTCCCATTTGCCTCCTTTTCTCTTAAAAGATCAGGAAAAATGCCAGAAAATAAAGAAAATTGCTAGGTCATCTGTTTAAATAAACCTGTCACTATTTCTAGCTTAGAAACTTTCTCTTTTTTTTTTTCCTAAATTTGTTCTGAAAGACTTTGCTAAGTTTAAACACAATGACCAAAATTAACTGCATTTATTTATTGATTTATTTTTTTTCAAGTGGCTTCTGAAGTTTTGAAATACACTGTTTGAAACACATGGTTTGAAAGTGTAGGAAAGGAAGAAATTTTACTCTACCCATCTAAGTTCTTCTGGCTGGTCTAAGAATTAAATTTACATAAGACAGAATAACAGGAGAAAGTCAAACAAAGTTTAACAACATGTATAAAGGGGAGAAACCCAGGAAAACTGAGTAACTCACCAAAATGGCCAAAGCTGCTACCTTAAATACCATCTTCAGCTAAAGACAAAAGAGAATATGGGGGGTAGCAGTACGGGACTTCAAAGGGGAGGAAGGAAATTTACACGGATATGGGAAAGCAAATGCTTGGTAAACAAATGTTTGCTATGCCTTGCAGAGACAATGGGACAGGGAGAGGACTTTGATCAAATGGGCTTTGCTAGGTTCCTCCCTGTCTACAGCACCTGGTTCATATTATACTATAGTTATCTAAGGTGATAGCTCCTTCCTGGAACAAGCCTTCTATCTTAAATTCTTTCAGACAGTTAGGGAGAAGGTCAAAGTTTCTCCCTGAGTCTTTTCTTCTTAAAAACGATCAAGCCAAAGAGACATATTTTGGGGTGACCAATTCTGATCCCCTACAAAACAATTGTTATTTTTAAGATTGATTGGGATCTTTTTTTTTTCAGCTGAGATCCACTATTTTTTTCCTCCCCAAAGCCCCAGTACATGGTTGTATATCCTAGTTGCAAGTCGTTCTAATTCATCTAAGTGAGCCACCGCCACAGCATGGCAACTGAACAGACAGGTGGTTTGGTTCTGCAACCAGGAAGAGAACCTGGGCACCTAAGTGGTGAGTGCCTGACTTTAACCACTAGGCCATCAGGGCTGGCTCTGGTTGGGATCTTTAATGCAAATGCAAAGAGCATCTTTACTGAGAGTACAGACTTGAAGCTTGTGTTGCATGAAATGATCTTGTTTTATTTGAACAACTATTGTTTTCTGCATAATTGCTTGTAGCCTTGGTTAAATAATTTCTACTATTAATTTCAATAAAAACTCTTTTTATAATAGTAAAAAAAGCTGAATCCAGCTGTGTTTGTGCCACAGAAAACTATTATTGGGTACATTTCTATTTTAAACTGAAGATTGTGCACATCCAATGGCACCTACTACTGGGAAGGTTTTTGAGAATCAAAACTTATTTGATAGTGACGAAGAGGAGGAAAAACAACTCAGGCTAAATCCCCACAGGAAATAACCAGAGTTTTTGTTGCCTAAGAATTTGAGGAATAGTGTGAATATTCTGATTTATTTCAACCGAGGTTGCAACTGGTACATGTTACTAAATTTGAACAATAACTTACTTTGTATTTATAGAGACAATAAAGAGTTATATGAATTGATGGGCTACCAGTCTTGGTCTCTCCAAAGAAATATCTTTTGGAAACAATGTCTACCACTGTCATTATAAGAAAAGTGACTGGGTTTCCCTGACCAAAGAGAGAACTAGGGAGGAGTATGTTAAAAAAAATACCTCTCTGATATATTGACTTCAAGACTACCTTAAAAAATACATGAAGTTCTATGAAGTATGGAATATGCCAATCAATCATCCAATCCACAAATTAAAGAAAAGACACTGTGTGAGTCCAAGGATGGCCTTTATAGCTGGCATGTGTTCTGTATATATGTTTATGGAATAAATAGCTGTTAGATTCTGAACACTTATGGTTTTTCAGATAGGGACCAATTTATTCCTTGTTGCTGCTCATCAACTTGGCCATTCCCTGGATCTCTTTCACTCAGCCAATGCTGAAGCTTGGATGTACCCGCTCTTCAATGCGTTCACAGACCTGGCCCAGTTCCACCCTTCTCAAGAGGATGTGAATGGCATTCAGTCCACATATGGTGAGTGATGATGAAAACAGTGCCTATTCATTCTTGATGTTCTTTAGGAAAGCTTCACAATGATGGTCTTCAGGAAAATTTTAAAATACTACATGATGTTTCATCTCAACGCACTTTAAGAATGTTTGGAAAGCGTATAAATTGACAGAAGCATCATATTTCTCCTAACGTTTGCATCTCTGCATCTGTTCTCTTTAGGACCTCCCCCTACTTCCCCTGATGACCCCGTGGCGCCCACGGAATCGGTGCCTCCAGGACCTGGAACGCTAGCCATGTGCAATCCTGCTTTGTCCTTTGAGGCAGCCAGCACTCTGAGGGGAGAAATCCTGCTCTTTAAAGACAGGTCAGACCAGAAAATTATATTTTCCTATCTGTTCTTTTGACGTACAATGCTTGGAAAGGAAAACAGAAACTCAACAGAGATTTTTAAATAAAATATTTCCTCTACATTTTTAAATCATTCAGACCCGGTACTTGTTCCATTTTATCAGCCTTAAAATTGTCCAGATCATTTTTCACAGACTTACAAAGGATGATTCTTGGTCATTAGAACGTAAGCTCGATGAAGGCAAGGGGTTTTATCTGTTGTATTCACTTTTATATCTCCAAGGCCTAGAATAGGCCCGGCACATGCAGTGAATGTGTTGAATAAAGGAATGAGTAATTGTTGCATTTAAATATCATAAATTATACAACTTCTTCAAAAAGTGCTGGTGGATCATTAGAAGCAGGTTTGTATCTTTATCTTTGCTAACAAATCCTACTATTTAAATTAATTAATTTTTTAAAAAGTGATATATGCTTAAGGCACAATATTAAAACAACACCAAAAGACAAGAGTTAAAGGAAAAATCTCATCTCCCCTCTCTATACAGTCCCCAGTTCTCCCCATATGTGCAACCACTGCTACCAATTTCCTTTATCTCTTTACAAAGATATTCTATTCACATACAGGCATAAATAGGTATACATTTTTTCTGCTTCTTTTTTCAAAAATATTAATAGGTGCATAATACACATACCATTTTGCAGACATGTAGAATGGACATCAAGTTAAATCATTACTCTGTTAACACATTTCCTGCCATAGATTTCATTACCCTGGGATCATATGGAGGAGGACAGCCCAATCCAGACTTCTGAATTAGCATTGATTGAAAGAAAGAGAAGAATATGTTCTTTTTGTTCTTGTATCTAAAGAAGAAAGACAATTGCAATCAACTTTTAGCTATTATAGATATTTTTGGCACAGATCCCACTGGTATCTCGAATCTAATTTCATTTGATTTCCACATTTTGGCCCTCTTTCCCTCAGACTTAGATGCTGCATATGAAGTAAATGTAAGGATACCGATTTGGTTTTAGAGGTAAGTATTATATAAGAATTTTAACCTGTTGAAGTAAGTCATCGCAAAAACTTCATCAAGACGAGTTTTCTCCGTTACGTTAAATTTTGGGTAGTTTATTACCACAAGACCTAGTGCTAATGCTTAAATAAGATGTGTACAAAGAACATTATAAGTTTTGTTTTAAAATATACAATGAGACTTAAGTAATAGATGATATCTTACATTCATGAATAGAAAAATTCAATATAGTAAAAATGCCAAATTATCCATAGATACAAGGAATTTTCAATACAAACACCAAAATATTTTTCACGGAACTTGACAAATTTGTTCCATAATTTATATGGAAGTGGAAAGGCCAAGAATATCCAGGATACTCCTGAAGAAGAATAAGATGAGGATAAATGTCCTGCATTATAAAGCTTTAATAGATAAGATAATCTGGCATCAGTACAGGGATAGACAAATTACAGAATGGAACTATCTGGGCCTGTTGGCTCCTTTGTCAGATTTTTAAACTGCTGTTTTGTTCTATTAGTAATATGCTATTTGAGCTTCTATTACTTCTTGAGTCCATTTTGTTAACATTTTTCTAGGAATTTGTCAATTTTGTCTGTTTTCAAATCAACTGGTATAAAAGTTTCAGAGTATTATTTTGTTGTCATTTTAATTATTGCTGAAGTTTTTTCCTTTTTCTCGTTTCTAATACCGAATCTCTGTGCCTTCCTCTCTTTATCGATGTCATAGGATAAGAGGATATTTAACAGTTTTATTGGTCTTCTCAAAGAAATATAACTTTTGGCTTTGTTAATCCTCTTTATTGTATTTTGATTTTCTATTTAATTAGTTTCTGTCCATACTTTCATTGCCCTCATTTTTGCCTTCTTTGAATTTATTCTGTTATTGTTTTTATAACTTAAGTTTGATACTTACCTTATTAACTTCTAGCCTTCTTTCTTTTCTAATATAAGCATTTATGCCTATAAATATCCCTTTCTTCCCAGTTTTTGCTTTATCCCACAAGTTTTGATATGTAGTATTTTCATTTTGTTCATTTTAAGTTTTCTTTTAATTTTAATTCTTTTTCCTTGACTCAGAATTTATTTGGGAGTATTTTTAAATGTCAAACTGTATGGGGATTTTTTTAAAATATGTGTTTCTGACAATCTCCTTTTTATAAAGATTAAATAAAATAATGTGAGGTTGCATTGGAAATTGTAAAGGGTTATATAATCTAAAGTATTTCTATTATTCATTAATTTATCTGACATTTATTTATTGCTTGCAATGTGCCAGGCACTGTGCTCGTTATTGGAGGTCAAAACTGAAAAGGGTTCATGTTCTAGAAAGCGCAGCAAAGATGGAGGCATCAGCATACCATATGATAAGTTCTGGGGTTGAGGGAAGCCAGAATGCCATGGGATCACAGAGGAAGGGCACTTGACCCATACCCAGGGTACAGCAAAGATCCTTGAGAGGAGATGATGTGTAGGATGAGTGTTGAAGGAGAATTTTACTGTGCGGAGAAGGGTTGGGTGTGTAGAGAGTGGAAAGTTCTTTAAGGCAGAAGGAACTGTCTATACAAGAGTAGGAGCATATCTGAACTGCTCAGACAGGTACAAGTTGTTTAACTCAGGTGAAACAAGAGAGATACACAATAGATTGCCATTTTAGATTAGTTAACTTGGCAGTGAGGTGAGGAAGGTATTCAGGGTTGGTGTGGGAGGGGTGGTGTGACAAAGTAAAAGCAGAGAGACTGATAGGATTCCATTGTCCTAATTCACTCAAACTTGGGTGGATCTCTAAGATATTCAGTAGAAGAACAGACTGGACTCAATGACTATGAGATATCCAATAAGTGTCCAATAAGTAACTGACTTACTGATTTGAAGCTTAAGAGAGAGTTCTAGGTTAGAAATTTAGATTAAGAAGTCACCAGTAATTATAAGAAATAACTAGAACTGGTCACCTTAATTTATAGATAACAAATACAAGACCTAGAAAGAGCAATGGACCAGAGTTATCTACTCATTTATTTGTTCACACATTTATTCAGGAAATATTTATTAAGTACCAGCTATCAACTGGGCATTGGGTTAATGGCTGGAATTAAAACCAAGACTTTCTGTTTTCCACAACAATGTAGTAAAATCATTTCTAAAACCAAAAGGCTTCACTCAAAATTTCTTGGGCTTCTTTTTTCCATAAGAAATAAGTTCTGGGCTGTCAGAAGAATTGAGGTTATCCAAGAGGCATCTACACCCTGGGTTTTCCTCCAATTATAAGGAAAATTGATGCAGCTGTTTCTGATAAGAAAAAGAATAAAATGTACTTCTTTGTAGAGGACAATTACTGGAGGTAAGATACAATAGGATGACTTTGTAAGGAGCCTAATTAGGAAAATAATTTTCTTTCTTCAAGGATATCCCCCACTCCCACCATCTAACTTCCTCTAACTTCAAACTTTCTGATTATGAGGAAGATGACTTATAGTTATTTGACTTTCCAGATATAATAAAGAGCTCTCAAAATAGCTGATCTCTGTGTCATATATCCACACACCGAAAGATATCAGGAGACTAACTGAGGTCCCGACAGTGGGCCACCAAAGGAAGCCCAAGTGTGTCAGGCTGTAGAGACGAGGTCTACAGGGCAAGTATGATAGAGAACCAGAAGCTTATTTTTAGCCAAGTGATTCATTCAATTCACTTTGCATCTTATGTGCATTCAGTCTTCCTGCATTTGTAGCAGAAAGGCCCTTAGGCTCTACGTGTCTAGGCTTAGAAAATTGACCTCAGACATATATATGGAACCTCTGTAAAATAGCATGATATCCTTGTTTCTGGAGAAAATATTGTTTTATGTGCTAAGCTTGTAAGCCCAGGAAAGTCACATATTTTTGTAGTCATAAAAATGTTTAACACTTTTTTATACTACTTGAGAATTTTATCCGGGAGTCCACGCTGGAACACTAACGTTACATCATACTGTTGCATGTAATGGGGCCCCTGCACAGTGTTGAGCTGTATTTCTTTCACTTCGTATAGACTTGACGAAAATATCCAGTCCAAAGGAACAAGGCTTCCCCAGACTAATAGCTGATGACTTTCCAGGAGTTGAGAAAAAGTTGATGCTGTATTACAGGCGTCTGGTAAGAGGACACTCATTTCATCGCCAATACGGACACTTTGGGGCATTTTATGGTATCAAAATGAAGTGGAGAATCAAAACAATTTTAAAATCATTCAGTCTTACATCCTTATTACTCCAAATTCCTGAAATTGTTAACTTTCCAATTTATGCAAATTGGATTTAAATTTTGTTTTTCTTGAATAATTTCTAAGCCTCTGTTTCATGCCAGCGTGTAAAATCAAAGGATACTTCCACACATCATAGCCATTATCTTTCAGGTCGCACTATGTTGGTATAAAAATGCAACCAAATACGAGCCACATTTACTAATGGCTGGCTGTCTTTCTCCTCTGTCCCATCCTGTTGTCCATTCTCTCATATCCCAAAGGGAGCCTTGTCTGGCCTTCTGTTGCAGCCTGCAATTGTTTGCATTAAATAATTCACCTGTAAATAAATAGTAGTCTTCCTATATGCTCAAAATAGACAAAATCTGATTCCTGGTAATTTGCAGATGAGAAAGCAAAGCTTGTGCTTGCTCTTAAGGAATTATGGAAGGAGCTGCCAGGGCTTGACAATCACAATGCTCATGAGGCTAATGATCTTGTTGTTAAGATAACTAGACCTTAATGTATTCAAAGCAGGAAATGGACCTCTGGTGTATTTTATTGCTGACCTGATTCTCCTGGGTCCAATTGCGTCCATAGCTATGATTTAGGACCTAGTGGAGGAAGAGAAAATTGGGAAGAAAAGGGATAAACTAAGGTTTTAAAATAACACAGAATTTTGTCTATTTGGAGGTAGTATAATCTAATTTTCTTAGAGCATTGGCTTTGGAGTCAAACAGATGAGATAGAGTTCTCCCTCCATCTTTCATTAGAGATGTTACCTTGGGAAAATCGCAAAATCTCCCTTATTTTCAATTTTGTCCTCATTAGTAATACCTCATATTTATTGTAAGAATAGATGAGATAAAGCGTGTCAAGTACTTAGCACAGTGCGCCTGGCTCAGAGTAACCACTTAATAAATGCCATTCACTATTAGCTCACTCTCATTCTGAGTTACGCATGTTGGAAAATTGATTTATTTGAAGAATGTCTCATTATTTTCCTCATCTATATTTACAGGATTTTTCTGTTTCTTCAGTGGATCGTCACAGTTTGAGTTTGACCCTAATGCCAAGGTGGTGACATGTATATTGAAGAGTAACAACTGGTTATATTGTTAAGTGAGATATGGAGAAAATAGATTCATTTTAAATGAATCTAATAATTATTCACATAATTTATTATGAGTCAAAATGATTCATTGTTCCTGCATGTGCAGTGGCCAAAGAAGATCAGCCTAGCAGATATCTTCACGTGTCATGGAACATTCATCTGGAAACCTTTACTTGCTGCTGGATTACATTAAATAGAAGTGGGAAATACTCATGTGCAATAGGCAAGAGAATGTATCTCCATTGTTGTTTTATTTAATCTTTAAAAAAGATTTTTATTTTTGGCCTGTTCTTTACTTTCTAGAATAATTCATTTTCAATACAATGACCACACTGTGGACTGAGCATTTAACAGATGGTCTGCTAGTAGGTGTAGTAGGAACACACATTTCACGGATGGGGCATATGGCTGTCATGTACCCTCTCCCATTCTCTCTACCAACAGAATCTTTATTTTCACTTCCCAGATATTGTAAGTGTTCTTTACACACCTAAGGAAGAAAGAGCTCCTGTAGGACTGGCTCTGGACAAAATTGGGAAATAGAGTTCTGGGATATTGGAGCTTAGAAACGTAGCAAACCGTCTAGTCCCCATCATCACCTACATGTGGGGAAGCAAAACTGGTTTGAGATCCAGCCAGTTCTCTTTTAACCCAATGTTTCTTCAGTGGTGCTCTCTGCCGGCCCTGGGAACCAAATTTCCCATATCCTCCACACTCTCTCACTAAATATTCTCTTGTTACCATTTTGTATCTGGCAGTTCCTGGGTGAATAAAAGTTTGTGTGTGCATGCCAATTGTATGACAGGTTTATTACCACTAGGTTATATGCTTTACACCCTACCAGGTCCACTACAGAAACTTGTTCATTCTTTTATTGATTCACTTAAATGACAGGCACTGTCTTGGATGCAAGGTGCAGGACAGTGAGAAAAACACATTTAACCTAATCTCATTAAGTTTTGTGTGGTAGGAGTAAGAAATCAAAAAAAAAAGGGACACAAATTAATATATGATTATAAATTATGAAGATGTTACTAAAGAAATGACAGAGAGGCAAGGGAGAATAATATTGTGAGGGAGGGAACTACCTGCTGAAGTTCGCTTGTTAGAGAAGGTCTCTCTGGTACGATAATGAAAAAAAAGCATCTAAATTCAATTATCCAGGTATATGTGTAGGAGATACATCAATCCAGGAAGAGAAAACTCAAAATAATTTTGAGGTTCAGAGGTGAAAACATCTTGGCATCTTCAAGGAAAGGAAAGCAGACGGGTGCCTGATTAGAGTGTTGGTGGGTGGATGTGGAATAAGATGATGTTAGACATGTAAGAAGAATCATTGCATTCAGGGTCTTTCAGATGTGTTAAAGAGCTGTCTTTTATTTTAAGTGCATTACGGATTTGCTGAAGGGGTCTTTAAACAGAGAAGCAACATGAGCCATTATATATTTCGAGTGATTACGCTAGCTGGAGAGAATCGGAAGGAAGTAATGTTGAAAGTTGGAAGACAGGTTAAAGGACTATTACAGATGACAGGAGAAGGTGGCAAGGATAGGAGGTCTTAGGGGAGATTGAGAGATATGACTAGACTTGAGATACATTTTAACATTATTCAGATTTAACAATGGACTAGATGAAGAGTTTCAAGGGAAATAAAGTTGTTAAGAATAACTCCTGGATTTCTGGCATGAGCACCTTCTTGGATAGCAGTGGCTTTAATATAGTTGGGGGAAGACTGGAAGGGAAGCAGTTTTGTGGGAGACAGCTAAGAGTGGGGAGGAATCATCTCATTTTTTAAATTTAGAAATTCTTGTGAGATAACCAAGTAAAGGCATCAATAGGCCATTAGCTAAAGGAGCCTGGAAACCAAAAACAGAGTAAATAAAACTGTGGGGGATTGCGGGCATCAGTGAAGTCATGGGAATAGATAAGGGTATATGGAGAGACTGCAGAGAGAAAGCAAGATGGTTCAGGATTGAACCCTATAAAATGATGTGTCACTCAAGCTAGGCCAGGTTATGCTGTGGTAACAAACAACTCCCAAATTTCAGTGGATTAAAACTAAAAGTCCATCATGGTATTCCTTTGGGATTTCTACTCCAAGTTGTCCTCACTTCAAGATCCAGGCTGAAGGAGCAGCCACCACTTCAAGCTCAGTCCTTCACTGTGACAGAGGGAAAGAGTTATTGGTAAATTTCACAGTGACTGTTAAAGCTCTGTGTGGATGTAACAAACATCATTCTGTCTACATTTCACTGTCAAAGAAAATTTACATTGCCTCATCTAATGCCAAAGACAGGCAAATAATATCCTGTCACACGTATGGGAGGAGAAACAGAAATATTTGGTAGATAGCACTAATCATAACTACAAAGAGCTTTTTGTTAAAAAAAAAAAAAGTAATTTTTCTTTATTTTTTTATTTTAAGTGTTTTACATTAGATTTTTTGAATTGGAAATACATGAAAATGGCCCAAAGTCCAAAATGAAGAAAACATTACCTATTTAGTGAAAAGTTTTTCTCCCTCCCATCTCATCTCAGCAACCGAGAGGTCAGCAATGCTTCTGATTTCTATGAATTTCATGTGAATCTTTTCATCGATTCTATGCGTTTATGAACATCTGGTTTTTTTCCCCAAAGGGTAACATACTTCATATCCTAGTCCACATACCAGTTTTTCTCACTTAATGTATCTTGGAGACTGTTCTGTATCGGTAACAGAAGCTGCCTCATTCTATTAAATAGCTACATAGTAATCTAGTGTATGAATCTAAAATTTATTTAACAAACCCTTATTAGTGCACATTTGGGTTGACTTTCAATATTGTACTTTTAAGAGCAATACTGTAACTAATATCCTTTTACATGTCATTTCATAGGTGACAGTGTATCAGTTGAAAAACTCTAGCACTTAAGGGCTACGTAGAGGAAGAAGAGCTGGAAAGGCATGTCGCTGATTCAGTAATATGAAGGTCATGGATGATCCCAAGAATGGCAGCATGGATGGGGAGATGGTGGCACAAATCTGACCAAAGTGTCCTGTAGGATGATTTTGGTATAGATTGACTTAATAAAGGAAATTAATTGGCTCACCAACTAACAAGAAAAGTCTTAAGGCAGTTTTCAGTTGCAGTTTAATCAGCTTCCTCTGCTGTTCTTTTGGCTCTGCACTCTAAATGATAGCTTTTTTCTTTAGCCTGAATTTCCTTGTGATGGTCTGATAACTGAAAGCATTTCTTCAGTACGTTATCCCTATCCACCAAATAAGATTTCTCTACTGTCCTCTGATTGAGCTATCTTTCTTCACGGGCCACACTGAGTCAATTACTGTGGAAAGGAGAGCAGGACTGGCTTAGACCCTTGAAGGTGTGTTGTGCTCAATCCCACCCTAATTATGCTCCTGCTATTCAACGGGTGAGAAAAGAATTGACATAGAGGCAGCAACATCAATGTTTTCCACCAAGAATGATTGTGAAATTACAAAGTGGAAAGCACGCACAGACAGTCTTGGGAAAATGTTGGCAAGGAAAATGCTTGCAAAAACATTTTCTCTTACGTTTCCAGGCTAGATTAACGGTTCTTATGAATGCCTTCATGTGGTTGCAGGGGTAAGGAAAAAAGGGAACTTCAGTTTATAGGCCCTATACAACGTGCTTTATATGGGAAATTCATTTAGTCTTCATAATAACCATAGTAAATAGTAATGTCTTTCTATTGCAGATCTTAAGCTCAAAAGGATAAACTTTCCCATGATCAGCAACTGGTAAACAGTCACACCAAGCTTCTACTTCAGAACTGTCTGGCCCCAAAGATCTTGCTCCTCTTGAGGCCAGATTAACAGATCATAAATCAACCTAATCCAGCTTAACTTTGTCTCCAATATGCTCTAAGTAATGTCTTTGCTTTTAAGGGCACAAAAGTTGAGATTGTGGTTCCCTGAGATTGCTGTATAATCTCCACCAAGGTGTTTCCGATTCTACAGATCTCCATGTATAAAAATGGCTTAGGACAGTTAACACTAAGATAAGAATAGATTCTAACTCGGAATCTTGACACTGATTCAAGATTCATCCTCAGAACTGATGGAGAAGTATTGGGTTCATGGCAGTTTTTGCATGTTTGGAAATAGACTCAGCAATATTAAGTGGAATCCTTTAAATTCCTGAAGATAGGGGAAATCTGACTCTTATGGTTCTATCATTTCCTCAACATTATGTGACCTTTCCAGTCTTGTTGCTTCTTCAGTGTTCCCTGGTTCACACAACAGCACTGCCTTCTTCTTATATCTTGGTCTTGAAACTCAGTCAACTTTGATTTCTTATTTTGCTCACAGATTACATTCCTTCAGTTACCATATCCTCTGAATTCTGCCTGTGCCATGTCTAGAGAGGGCAAAATAAAGGACTTCAGCAGGAAAGTGGCAGAGTGGACAGGAGGAGGCACACATGAGAGATGTTACTCAATCTTTGTAATTTTCTGACTACATGTCTGTGCACACGTTGCCCCCACTCTCACCCATCTTCACCTTCTTCTTTACCTACAGAAGACCAATCATCTCTCAAAGCCTGGATCATTTTCTACCTTGTCCATGGTATCGTCCCATGAAAGATTAACTTCTGACACAGATTTGGCAAGTTTTGGAATCAATTTTGGCATGACTAATTTCTTAGAGCAAGAAACTGTTTCAGATGCAGGTGCTGATAAGGAGATTCAATCGAAGGGGCGAAATATGTGTCCAAAAGGGGTGTAAAGCCAAGGCCAGTCATAATCTAGTCAAGTAAATGAGGTTTGACACGAGTCAATGGAGATCCAAGTAGGTGGAAGGAACACTGAGAAGAATAATCTGAGGCAAGCAATGCTGGGGAATCCAGGCAGGGAGGCAAACACTGGGCACTTGGGAGGTTGGATACCACTACCTATCAGTGTCTCAACTCCTAGTTCAAGAAAATCCCCAAATCATGAGATAAGGGGGGAGGTGGGATCGCATAAATTTGAGGAGACAGGTCATAGC